CTCAATATCTAGGATACCTAAGTTTATTAAATGTTGATAATGTTTTGTGTTCTATTATTATCTGACTGCATGAGTAATGCAAATATATATTTTATAAGAACTTTTTTCACGAAACTGTTCTTGACATTAAGATTGAATAATTAGATACAGGTAGATAGGTTTTGTAATAATTTAAAAACCTGAAAGTATTCCTAAAATGTCAGCTTATTTTAAAGTTCACATAAGTATGTAATATATATCATTACTAGTTTACATTATATTATAATTATTAAATCGCTGGATAAATATTACAGATTGTTTATTTTCCATAGGAAAAAATATACATATTTCATAATGAGCATTTGCTTTTCTTTTCTACTATGAATATGTAACCCTCAGCAGGTAAGAAAGTCTAGTCTTAAGAAGGTAGGAAGGAAGTAAGTTAGTATTACTGTACGAATTATATGTAAACGGATAAAGAATCTGGCACAATATGCACAGTTAATATAATCGCTGACGTCAAACATAGCCATCCAATGTTCCTATTCTGAAGAGCTGACGAAAAGTCATCATTTTTGACACGAGTTTGTGATTGTCGATTACTAGATTGAACTATTCTTGAGCAGTGGACTTCGCTAGCTCCAATGAATCCAATTGCAGAGGTAGTTGGTCCTATGCACAAATTGCTGCCTAATCTCGGGAGCCTCAGGGAGGGAGTTCGCCGCCTCTATGCTGGGATCGTGCGAACGATAACCCTCTAGGGGGCGCCCGTATGGTCTCACCGACTAACGTGCGTCAGACGCTGCAGCTAAACTTTATAGCCTGCAGCGGAGAATATCCGTTACGAGTGCACGAGGATACCGAACGATATCTTTTGAGGCGGTCACCATCCTAACTCGGTTTCCACCACTGGACATCCTAGCGGAGATGGATGCGCGAGTTTATGCTCGGCTGCGACTACCCCAGGATGATGCCGAGCCCCTGGATGCGGGTGAAGCGTGCCAACGGATCGTCACCAGCTTCGAAGCCTGGCTTAGTGCGAGGGGATTTGCACACGTCACCTTTCAGCTGACACAGGTACTCAACGGGCACGGATGCTTTGGTGAGTATGTAACGCCTACCGTTTTAAAGAGCAATCAAACCACTAATTCAATTACGCGATTTGCTATTAAATTTACAATATTATATATAATATATATGCAATAATATCTCTCACTAGGAAAGGACACATTATGCTGACCCCACCTAGTGCGAGATAAGGGCAGGAGAAAGAAAAATATTTATTATTTTTTGATTAAGAAAAATAAAGGGCCTGGAATAACGCAATCTACCCAATAGAATTTATATGTTGATGAATGCTAAGTCTAACTATGGAGAAAAGAAATAAGGAGAATTGTCCGTGCATTAAAATGTGGCCGTCAAAATGCATATCGATAGTCTGCTAACGATAGTTAAGGTAAAAGCAATAGTATCGATAGTATTGTCACGTGTCAATACTGTCGATACTACTAACGATAGTATCGATAGTATTGCAATTGCCATTCGTTTTTGACAAAAACTATCGATACTATCGATAGGTTTGTACTATCGATAGCCAGTAGTGAATTTTACCATTCATTTGGAAATCAAGCCAAAAATCTTGCCTTTATTTATTGTTATAAATGTTTTTAATAATATTACTTCGTTAGGTTCGCTAGGGTTTTTGACTTACCCGATAGGGACAAATATTTTCAATAGATGGTAACAATGTTTTAGTGTGCCATAGGGGTGGACAAGGAAAAAAAAATGTATCGATATTTTTCGTATCGACATTTTGAAAAAGAGTCGATAATTATCGAGTGAAAAATGTAGAATTTTTTTGGAAATATAGTAATTTGTATTTGTATAAAAATATCAGTTTTTCCTAGGGATTTTTAAATACTATTCATAATTATCGAATGAAAAATATCGATGTTTTTTTTTTATTTTTTGAATTATTCATATTTTCAAACCATTCTAAATTCATAAAAAAAGAATAGACATGAAGAAAAAGTAATATTTATTTATAATCGACTCAATCAAATACAATTTATTCGAACCAATAGTCATCTGATATAGACATTAGGAGCATCTGTATTGTACTTTGCTGCCAAACGACTTCTATTGTTGGGTACTGTCAGATTCATAGCTGGTCAGATTCATAGCAACACTTTCTGAAGACGCCGAAGAAGCTGGGCAAATTAGATTCTCAAGGGCGACTTTTAAATTTCAATTCATTTTAAGGTGTTTTTGTTTGTAAATTTATTAATTTGTAATTGCATTAAATTGTAAAATATCAATCAGTCAGACGATTTGGACTTATTGAACGTCACAGCGTTAAATAAAATCATGCAAACTGACATAAGCACCACGCTAAATAGTTGAAGAATTTCACTAGTTGATCAACTTCTCACGATACTGAAGTTATTCGACGTCTAATAATTTTTTAAACTCACTCAACTAAATTCTAAAATAAAATAAATTGTACTTAGAGTTTTTAAATTTCTACACATGCAATTTTTTTCGTTTTTGTTTGAAACTTTTTTGATTTGTTAAAAAAAAATCTGAAAATTGTTAATTATTTATTAACTTCAGGGTCATACACGTCTCACACTGATGTTTTAATAGTATTATAATAACTATTTTCATGGTATTGGCTCAAATTTCTTGTTACTAGGTCATAAAATCATTAAAAAAAAGTATTATCGTACACGCATCTAATAACACTAAATCAGAGTTGCGTTGAAAAATATATCGAAATTGATACCAATTCGATAGTCGAAAATAAATATCGAATATCGATATAATTCGATATATCGGGAATAAAAATATCGACGTATACATCGATATTTATTTGGAAAAATATCGAAATTTTTATATATCGATAGTTTTTGCCCATGCACTAGCTTTTCCATGACTATTTATTCATAATTACAAACCCTATCTATGGATAGCCATGAAAAAAAGATATATATAGACTGATAGAAGAAATATGTCGATAATTTTATGGAAAAATATCGATATAATTATGCAGAGATTTTTTTGAGCAATGCCCAAATTTACACAGAAGGTTCAGACTCCGTAGTATAATCGTTTATTGAGATAAAAACAAAGTTTTTTTTCCAAAAAATTGTGCCATGTGAAATATTGTGAAATGCCATTCTATTCCCTAAAAACAGAACGTGTTGATAATGCGGTAGTCATTCATAAATACATAAATTTTACTGTGCACCAAGTTGTGTGCGTGTTAGTTATGAATGATCGCGCGTAAAATAAATAAGTTGCCCATAAATCACGCACTTTTTGAGATAAGTTCAAATGAATGTAATTAATTACTTACGAGTGCTTTTAAATATTATTTATCATTTTTTATATAACATTATTTATGTCTAGAATTTAATAAAAAATGGATGTACTTAGAAAAGCCATCCTGTATATGTATACACTTACATATCGATATTTTTTGCAAATGCCTGTGCGCCATTTTGCAGGGCTGCCAACTAAGGGGTGTTTCCCCCAAATTTAGGGGGGGTGAACAAAAGCATTCGGATTTTTAGGGGCTTTATACTTTTAAGGTTATTTTTAGAGATTTTGTCCTACGTTTTATTTCTTGTTATTTTATTTTATTAAGAAAAATAAAGGTAAATAAAAGGGACTGTCTCTCAATCGAGTACAGTTTTCATTACTAAGAATGTGGAGTTAAACTATGTAGAGTAGAGATAAGAAGTGTTCATCAAAACGCGTTCAATAGCTTTAGCGTAGGATAAATTTTAAGACCGATTTACGCTGGTCAAGTATTTGGTAAAATAGTCAAGGACAGTAGTGTAAACCGTGGTACGGTTGCGAGTCAATTTGGCTTGCATGCTGCCTTGCAACTAAACCCAAGCAGAACCGCTTTCTTCCAAAAAAAATTAAGCAATTGCTAACCCTCGCTGACTTGCTGCAATGTAAGCTGCTGCAAATTATTACAGTGGCCGGCATCAGGCAACAAAATTTTGCGTATTGTTCAGAGAAATGGCACTGTACTTGCTGTAGTGTAAACAATTTTGTCCAGTGTCCGACACTGACAGCCACTGTCCTTGACGAATTTAAATCTGGCTTTAAATAAACTGCCAAAAGTAATTAATATTTATTTATCATTCATTATGAATCACATCTTTAATTATTTGTAATTTTTTATAATATAAATTTAAATTGTTTATAGTGCTAATCTTTGCACTTAAGATTGTACATTAAAATATGTAGAAAAAGTGCGAAAAGATTGTCGCCGCTGTGGGAATCGAACCCACGTCTTCGGCATTCGCGGCCTGACGCTCTAGCCACTGAGCTAAACGGCTGATGACCACACCGACGAAAATCTTAACGCATTCCTCTACATTGTTTTCTTAGCATTTGAAGCAATGCTTGGCGCCATCTATTGTTATGTCCTTTCCAGCATACAAACAATTTCGAATTTCGTTTTACAACGATAATTCGAACGAGAGATGTCGCCATTGCTTTTTTAGAAATTTTTTTATAATATTATTTTATTAGGGGTTTTTTGGCTTAAACATTAGGGACAAATATTTTCGAGACTTGGTAACACTGCCATTTTGTTGCGTTACTGCCCGTTCCCGTCCTGGCAATGGCAATATCGTTATCGGACGGTAATTTAGAACGCAGATGAGTTTAGCAAAAGCTATCAGATAAACATTTCTCTTTATTTTTAAACGTTACGGAAGGCAGCTGAGGGCAATATGTTCCCGCCGACGCGTATTAAGAGCTGCCTTCCAGTCATGAATCCGATGTTTAAACGACTGCGCCCGCATAGGCCGTTCCGACAAACGTCGTACCACAACCAAACAAAGGTATCCAGTACACAAATACAGAAGACAAAATGGATGAATTTACGAGCAATATTCACTCGATGGGTGCCTTTAGGCAGTGTTATGTACGTCGGATGGTGTTATATCCGAGCAAGTGTGAATTATGAGGTTTCCAAAGTGGAGATTAAATTTTACGAGATGTTTCCGTTCCGAATTACCAGTCGTATCTGGGGACGTCTGGCGGCGTGCGAGATTCCAACTTCGATGCGGAATTTTGTATATGGAATTTACGTGAAGTTTTTCAATGTCAATTTAAGTGACGCCGCCGTGACCGATTTGAAATATTATAAGAGTTTGTCTGCGTTTTTTACGCGACCCCTAAAGGAAGGCGCGAGATACATATCGCCATCGATATGCGTTTCCCCATGCGACGGTGTGGTGCTTAATTGCGGCCCGGCGGACACTGACAAGATAGAGCAAGTCAAAGGCGTCACATACAGCCTGGAGGAGTTCCTCGGCGAGAACAAATGGTCGAAAAACACCGACACCAACTACTACACTTCGCTGTTGACGGACAAGAGGAATATATTACACCAATGCATAATTTACCTCGCGCCAGGTGACTACCACAGGTTTCACTCCCCTTGCAATTGGACCTCTAAGTTCCGTAGACATTTTTCTGGCAAGCTACTCTCCGTGAATCCGTGGATGGCGCGGCTTATACCAGGGTTGTTCACAATGAACGAGAGGGCAGTTTACGTCGGTGAGTGGAAACATGGATTTTTCAGTATGACAGCCGTCGGTGCTACAAACGTTGGCTCTATAGAGATATACAGCGACCCACACCTCCGGACGAACACAAAAGGCAAACGAAACAGAGTTGACGAGCTGAATGTTGAAGTATCTTATAATAAAGGTGAATTGTTTGGGCAGTTTAACATGGGTAGCACAATCATTCTTCTTTTCGAAGCCCCAAGGGACTTCAAGTTTGAATTTAAATCTGGTGATAGGGTGCTTGTGGGTCAGGCCTTGACAATGGCTGCCGCGCAGCAAAGTAGATGACCTGGTTACAGTGATCTCATGCACATAGTGCAACTTGGTTTAGTTTTTTACATGGTCCTCTTGTTGCTTTAAGTAGCAAGACGTGAGATGCTCCACAATTGTATTTGCTGTAATTTATTGTAATAGCCGGGCAGGCTTGTTATAATCTAGAAATATATTCAATATTTATTTATCAAAATGTTTTCCGATAGTTTTACCAAACTGTACCTTTTGTGTTTCTTTTAAATAGACTAGATTGGTTGATAAAACATTTCATTATGGTAGATTTGATTTGCTGTTGAGTCTATTGTTTGTGTTTAAATGTGTATTTCTTTCATCCTCTTAAAAATTTATGGGATGAGCTGTAGTAACTAATATAAAGATCAAATTGTCTTGTTATTGGGAGAAGTTGAAGTAACATCTCTTAGATGTTACTTCAACTTGTTTTTATGAATTGTTTAAATGGTAAAGCAATTTCTTTTCACAGTAAATTTACCATCCTTGGAAAACATTTTGGCTGCTTATCCTCTGATTTCCTTTCAATGACACTTTCCCAAGACAATTATGTTTTCAGGGAACATTTTAAATGTTAAATTATTACAATACTTACACCCGGTTTCTTAAACGCTGATTATTCTGGTCAATTCAGAGAGTTTAACCATCCTTTTGGCAACTCAAATGAAATTTGAAAATCCATTTGACAGCTGATAAGTTGACATCTACGATGATCAGTGTTTAAGAAACCAAGCTTTAGCAATTTTGTATTGTTATGTGTAAAAATGATCTTAAATTTAGTTCATGCAATTTAAAATATTGACATATTTACTGATATTGTATAGAGTTAATTGCTAGTTATGAGAATATTTAAGAATAGCAGACAAATTTAAAGTTTATTGAAGTTTAAATTGTTTAATGAAATATCACTCAGAACTATAGAATTTATTAAAAACATTCAGAACAAAGTGATTCTTATCTTTCGGTGCCATTATAACAGAGATATAATTATGATACAAGTGAAAGATTCATATTTTTGGTATCAGATTATTATACTTATTGTAAAAGATGAAAATTTGTATAGTCATCCAGCTAGGTATTCCGAAAAGCAACTTTCCACTGTGCATAATTCTAAGAGTAGTTAGTATCTTAATTTAATGCTGTGTCAGACTGTTGTTTTATCATACATAAATAGTCTATACAACTATTTTATTTAATTGTTGCAATGTAGGCATGTTAAGTTGGCCAGTAAATTGAGGAATAAGATGTAATGTTGACTACATAATATGCAGAAATGTCTTTTGAATATAAACAATGTCTAATAAATATAGTTGTCTTAAAAGCAAGATCATAGTATTCTCCTGCCCAATTTTGACCATGACTGATAATATACCGAAAGTTAAGGAAAATCATGCTTGAGTCTACATTGTACACACTGTTTTTAAACTATAAAACGTAAAATAATTTAATGAGTATTATTTGTTTGACCTCTATTCCATGAATAAATCTCAATTAGATAAGTAGTAAAGAAATATTTCAAAGATGTGAGGTGACATGGCAGCATTTCTTTAATTTTGGGTGAGCTTTAGAATAAAAAGAAATGTGCTTTGCCTTTCATACACTTACAGTTGGATATAGTTTTACTCATACTAATCAGCCAAAGAGTTGTATAAATATTAAAATTAAGCTATGCTTGAAATATCACTTCAAATATGTAATTGGTCAATAAGTCCAATTTTTTGAAGTTGTTTTTAATTTATAACAATTAACTACTAGGCATAATTTAACAGTTTTGCGTCTGGTTGATGCAAATTGCAGTGTCGTTCGTTGCGGCGCGGCGCTCTTGGGTGGAAGCCTTTGTTAACAGTGAATGTCTCAGCTAATCATTTAAGTTACTTCAACAATCAATGTATTTGTTGGACGGATTGTCTCAGCTAAATTTTCTTTTTATATAATTAAAAATGTGAGCCTTATATGTATTGTATTTTAGGATTATTCACCTAAAACTCGGAACATCAGTTGATTAGTTCTAAAAATTTAAATGACCATGGTTCAGACTGATATCAAGTGCTTTATTGGTCTGAAGGCCATGGGAGATTTAAATACAAACTTATTCAAAATGTCTTAAGCACAAGAAAATAGTGACTAAATTTTATTTCTAGATATTATTTTAATGTGCTTTGATATTTATCTAAAAATATAACAGTAGGTACTAAATTTAATTTACTTTACTTAGTTTGATGTATTCATAACAATTTGTATTAAAATCCTCGAAATATTTGTTTTTACTAATATTTCGAAAGTATGCAATTTCCTCATGATACTTCCCTTTACCGCTGAGCACGTAATAATTCAGCAGTTAAAATTGCAATTAACAATTTCATTGGTGCCGATATCGGGATGTGAATTCGTAGTTGCTTGAAAATGTTGCATTAAGTAGGAGCGTCTGGACTCTAATATTATGTATTATCGGAGTTATCTAATATTATAATTTTACTATTTAGATTGAGCCGAAAACGTCAAATTATTAAAAATCATCAATAGTAATAGAATATTTGTGAGAAGAAATTAATTATCTTCTTCTTAATAAATAAAAATGAATGTTGGTAAGCGCATAACTCAAGAATAGCTGGACCAATTTGGCTAATTTATTTTTTATGTGTTCCTTAAGGTCCACGAATGGTTTTAAAAGAAATAAGTCTGCCCCAGTTGGTATAAAATATAATTTATTATATTTTGATGTGATTGAAATAAAACTAATTTGCGGATTTTATCTCGTTTTATTTTATTTTATATTCAAAATAAAACATGATAGAACGGAAAATAGTTAATTGAGTAGTTATTTAATCATTATCTAAGTCATAGGGATGCTGAAAAAATGTTTTTTATTAAATATATCTATATAAAATATTCAATATCGAAATCGTATTATAAACGATATTTTTTTCAAATACGTATCCGGGACAGAGTCCTTTCATTCGAATATTTAATACTTGGCATACTTTTTTTATGGCAACAGGGCCCAAATCGCAATTAGGATATATTGATACTATTGACATTATTATAAATATCGATATATTTTTTCACTTTCGGCATCCCTAGTAAATCACTCGGTTGGCCTCGGGTTTTAATGGCGAACTTGACATATCTTTGAAATATTCTATTCCTAGAATACTCATCTTTACACTTCGCTGCTATTTTAAACGTATCTAGAAACACTAACTATGAACGATAATAATTATTACGAGATGTAGGTTTAATAAAAATACCATCACATGTTTTTATCAAACACTTGTTTATTTATTATAATAAAGTGCATGCTTTTCCTTTTTCCGGTGCATAGAATAAATTAATTATTGCGGGAATTCTAGAGCAAAAAATTGTTACCATGGTCAAAATTGAAGACAGATTATTTTTCTAATGTACCTATAGTACAGTTATTAGACACCCATCTATCTAATCAGCAGGTAATGATAGCGTAGTTCACTTATTGAAGTTTGTACATTGGTTCTTTCTGGCATGATTCAAAGTTTGTGTTATAGAGATATATTGGATACTGTGCTAGTTGAACGACCAGAACAAGAATAAAACTTAATTAGTTGAAACTAAAAACTCAATGTTTGTAAAACGTTATTAAATTATTATTCGATAACTAATTTAAATCGTCAAGCACTGTCCCATTTAGTTATTTAAAACAACTAAAACTTTGTATATTTTTATACTGTTGTAACAAAAAAATATAAGATTATACGATAGAGTAATATTCGATATCATTGCGGAGCCACCTCATTGCCTCTCCTATTGTCGTAAAGAATCTTTGTAGTGATGATTGTTTTTATTAAATGCTCATATCTAGTCCATAGTGCATTAGCTGTGACATTATTTATTGTATATGTTACCAGTCTATTAAAAACGGTTTTTAACGGATTTTGGGCGGCGGATGGAGGTGTTATTTGCTCTTTTGGTATTAAATGCGTCCTCAAATTCTGTAGATACATAAAGCTCGCTTTGTTCCCATGGCTGATAACGGTGAATTTTGTATCCCACTTTGCTACTTCTTAACTACAAATACCATTTCAATCGAATCCTTTTTTTCTACCCTCTAGAATCTCATTTTCATTTAGAATACATTCGTTTTGTGTGGGCATTATTTTTTTCATATTAATTATGACCTATAGCGTAATCTTAAATATTATTGAGATATTTTAGAGATAATTTGCTTGCTGTATTCGTTAGTGATTTATTGAAAATTTCTATTGATACGTGAATTCGCTAACACTTCGCTTTTCGTTCGCGCATACGAAAGCAAGCAAACGCTGACCAGTTTTCTATTATTACGTCAGCGGTATCCGCTAGACGATGATGAATAACCATATTTAAAAGTAGTATTGATAGAAGGCAACAGTAAACGGGTACAGACATAATCAGCACTAAATAATACTCGTAATACCTATCGCCTATCGCCATACCTATCGCCCTATTTTCTTTCACCAAGAGATGTCATAAATGTTAAGCAAAGTTACAGCTTATACTTAACCCACGCGATGTTTTACTTAAGGGCTAAGCACGTGATAAGTCGGCACTTAAAATTAACAATTTCATGGAGACCGGCACCAGGGATCGAATTGATGTTACTCGAGTGTTTTAAATAAAAGGCGAGCGCCCGGACACTGAGCTATCACGGATCATTAATTTAGATGTCATTGTTTGCAAGAATATTCATAAAATCGGCTAATAATCTACTGCACAGTACATTTCTTACTCTATAACCGGGAATATTTCTTAGTTTCGAAGAAAACTTGTCAATTAATTAATATGTGTATGGTCACTATGTGTGTATTACGAGGTTAGAAGTAAACGGAGGAATTTAGTAAATTGATTGCCCTATCCAGCTATTATATTATTTAAATATTGCAAATTTGTCTTTCTTATACTATGTTTTCTATCCTATTATTTTGGCAGTCGATCACATTAAATCATTGGCGCTGGTATCTAAGTTAGTCTCGTCTTTCGGTTTGTTTAGC